ACCATAGCCATTCAGATTAATTCAGATTGGCTCGCATTGTTTGAGGTAAACAATATTTCTTGCTTCCTTGTTCTGTTTAAAATATAGATGAGGCTTTATCATGTGCAAAAGGGAGCATTGTTATCTTCTTCGCTTTTGTACCTGAATATCCATATGCGGTCTTTTATCAATGTCAACAAATGTAATACTGTGTGATGCGATATAATTAATACGAAATAAAGTCGTGGATACTTTGTCGATTTTCGATGGTCAAGCTTTTAAATCGTCTCAACTGGATTGTAGCAAAGTTTTGGACCATGCTAATTGGATTCATAGTTAGCAATTGGATATATAAATATACAAATGACGATAGAAGATCATGCATTGAGTTTGTACGTGAATAAATATACAGTTGATCATTGTTCATAATCACATGTTTTGATTGTAATTATGACTTTATTTCTAGTTATTTGTCATTTTCACGGAATGTGTTATGCTACTATAATATGTTTCTGTCAATGAAGAGTACTTGAATTGTTTATCAAGCAAGACGTTGCTCATACCTCATTGTTGTATTATCTCAGACGATGATGCTTTCTTTGAGGACAACTTTGGTAAGGTGTGCGCGATTGAATCATTGGAGAAGGTTTAAAGTGCCTCAAATATTGGTGATCAATGATTAGACTAGTGTGTATTTGCTTGATCTTGCACTGGCTTATTAGATCGAATGTACTAAATAGTTAACGTATAATATATTTCACATATTACTAAGTTCATAGAAAAATTATCACTTTTTCTTCAACATTTAATATTTATTGAAATACCTAGCTATATTGATAAATTTGGATCGAGTGCACTTCATATAGTTCAATCATCAAGATGATGTAAGACTGTTTTGTCTACTGACCAGTCCACGGCCTCTGTTTTCTGCACAGGTAAGATTTTTCTTCCCTTCCCCTTCGGCTGTATTAAAAAACTTGCCAATTTGTCAGATACATAAACCAGTCTTAGATCTCCCTTTTGCATACTTACATAGACCAAGAAAAGTAGGTAAGGTTGATGGTAAAACAAACAAGAAAAAAAAAAAAAAATTCCAAGGTAGGGATGGTAACTGGTAGGGCACTCTCTAGAAACCCTCTCCACCTTTACTGGCTGCTTTCACTTTATATGTCCCTTAATTTTGTGCACAAACACATGACATACTTTTCCATTCTTCAAACGTGACTTGTCTTGATTAATGCACCACTAGGGTTACTTTCTTGTCATTCTTTGTCCCAATTACTTTGTCATCTTTTTAGGAATAATTTTGTCCAATCATTTTCTTGCCAAATTTTAATCGTATTCAACAAATCATATAACATGAAGACAAAGGATAGAAGTGAAAAATTTTAGAAATATTTAATTTGTCGAAGATAACAAATATTTTAGAATATTACAGAATTGGAAGCATGAGACTTTTAATGAAATGGTGTATGCATCTTACTTCTTTCAACTCATGATTATCCAATACCCCAAATTATCTATATTTTTTATAACTTTTTTTTAATTAGTGTAAGCTGGAGGACTCGAACCTGAGACCTCTTACTTACACTCCCTCCCCCGTACCACTCAACCCATCCCTCCCCCAATACCCTAATTATCTATAAACATGTGCAAGTAGTAAACCAATACTATATCATATTTGAAAAGTAAATGCAATCACTAAAGCCATAGTCATGGTTTTTCTCTCTCAAATTCATTTGAGTTGAGTTTAATCAAGGTTGAGTTAGAGCAAGCGGGTGGCAGTACTCCACAGGTTATCGAAATGTTACAACTGTGAAGAAGAATTTACTATCATCAAAAAGTGGCAACACTGAACTAAGGATGGCAACGGGGCGGGATTGGGGCGGGGGACCCCTCTCCCATCCCCGGCCCTGCTGCCTACAAATTTTTATTTATGACGTCATCCGGTTCAATTCCGATCGAACTCGGTTGAACTCATTGACCCCTGACCCTTGAACTCGATCGAGTCAATACCCAGTCCGGTTCTGATATCCGGTCCAATTCTGAAAACATAGGCTTTATGAACTCCCAATTATTTTGGAAACTAGTTTGCTATGCAAATTGGCGAGAGCATTGTTATCTTCTTCCCTTTTGTACACGAATATCCATTTACGGTCTTTTATCAATGTCAACAAATATTGTAATGCTGTATAATGTGATATGATATGAAATAATGTCGGAAATGCTTTGTTGATAGTCGATGGGCTAGTCCTGCCTATTTTTAAACTGTCTCAACCGGATTAGAGCAGAGTCTTGGACCATGCTAATTGTTTATTAGGCAAGACGTTGCTCATACCTCATCGTTGTATTATCTCAGATGATGATGCTTTCTTTGAGGACAACTTTGGTAAGGTGTGCGCGTTGGAATCATTGGAGAACGTTTAAAGTGCTTCAAATATTGGTGATCAATGATTAGACTTGTGTGTATTTGCTTGATCTTGTACTGGCTTGTATGCATTATGTTGTTAAGTACTTAAAAACTTTCGTTTGATCTTTTGGACTTGTATCAATGCATTATGTTGTTCTAAGAAATCCTGACTTCGCCACTGCCATGAATGCTTCACTGCTACGGTTTCAATGTTTTAGTGTCTTTGATTCTTCATGCGTTGTGTTATTGTGGTTACCACGAAAGACATGGTGGTGTTGTTTCTCACGGCCTTAACAGTTTGATAGAAAGTTAATTGGAGCTAAAGTTCTCATGATTTATTTTTGTTTTGTTGCTTTAAGCCATTAAATTTCAAAGTTAATGAACTTGATGTCAGAAAATTTCTCTCCATATTTCTGCAGTTTTAACTCCCGCTAACTATTGACAAATTTAGTTTTATGTCAACAATATCTAAGTGTTTTCAATAGGAAATAAACTTACTTTTTAATGTCAATGAAAATTTTTTTACTGCTTCTTGTATATACAAATGTTTATCATGTTTCTTTCAGGTATATTCTACTTATTTTGAATTAGTTTTTTGAATTATAATGTGCTCCTTAACAAAAATATTTTTTTTTTGAAGGAACAAAAATATTATTTTCATCACTAAATATTTAACGTATAATATATTTCAGTATTTTAATGCTTAGCACAACCCAAAGTGCTATTAAACCTAGCTATTTTTTCTACCATATAACAAAGGTGAACTGTTTTAAGCGTCTATAATGTATTTATTAACAATTTTTTTCTCAACCAAAACCTCAGCATTTTCTAAGCGAAACTTAACACTTTGGTAAAAGACCTTATCGCTAATTTAGCAATAATTAAAACCTTTGTAGCAAATTTTAGAATATTTTAAAATAATTTGATGGTTCATAAGCGAAAGTTCACCTTCTTAGAATCTTTTTTGTTGAAATGTTACTACTTTTCTAGCCAAAGGTTCAAGTATGTTAAGGAAAATTTACCAGTGTCTTGTAAATCTTCTCACTTTTTAGGTACTACTTGTTTAGCAAAAAATATTACTTCACTTTTTTGAAAAATTCTTTCTACTTCATTAAGATATCTTAGTATTTAATAACACATATTACTAAGTTCATAGAAAAATTATCACTTTTTCTTCAACATTTAATATTTGTTGAAAAACCTAGCTATATTGATAAATTTGGATCGAGTGCACTTCATATAGTTCAATCATCAAGATCAGGTAAGACTGTTATTGTCTGCTGACCAGTCTACGGCCTCTGTTTTCTCATTTCTGCACGGGTAAGATATTTCTTCCCTTCCCCTTTGGCTGAATTAAATAACTTGCCAATTTGTCAAATACAAAAACCAGTACTAGATCTCCCTTTTGCATACTTACATAGACCAAGAAAAGTAGGCAAGGTTGATGGTAAAACAAACAAGAAAAAAAAATTCCAAGGTAGGGATGGTATCTGGTAGGGCACTCTCTAGAAACCCTTTCCGAGTTTACTGGCTGCTTTCACTTTATATGTCCCTTAATTTTGTGCACAAACACATGACATCCTTTTTCATTCTTCAAACACGACTTGTCTTTAGGCCTGTCAACGGGCCGGAATTCATTATTCCGGACCCGGATCTGACCCGTTTACCTGACGGGTCTTCTACTCTATGTTTCGGATCCGGGTCGAGTCTACCCGAAAAATCTATCAAACTTACAATTTCTAATAAAAATGAGAAAACGTGGCGACACTGAACAATTGGAAAGAATGGGCGGTACTTAAATGGTTGTGGCCACACAAATTGCAACAGTAACTTTTGCAATTTGTTTTACAGTCCCAGGTGGATATAAAGGTGGTAAGGGTCGAGACAAATGCAAGGCAATTCTAGCAAGAAAGCAGCCTTCTATATGCTTGTCATTTTGGATTTCTTACCTCTAATTGTTAGATTCATGAATAAAAGACTATCACATATTGGTTCGAGAGATGAAAAAAAGTGGTTAATGTGTAAGTAATGGCTCCAAATCTAATAGTTTAAATTTTTAGATTAGAGTTAGATTCCTAACTTACATGTTGAGCTTTTGATGAGTTCTCTCGAAGTTTTTTCCTTGACACTTATAAAGACCATATTCGTTCGACAAATGATGCTCGTGCAGTCAAAGCTAGCTAGAGTAAGTTGCGTGTCTCCAAGAGTGTGCATCAGATACCTTCCAAGCATTGATAAGGATTTGACTGACGCAGATTAATTGTTTTAGACTTATATTATTAGATTGTCACCCAAGTTATAACCACTAGCTAGTACTGTACTACACTTTATACCTTTAATCTTCGCCATATTTGAAGGCTTTGAGCAATGAAAACCATTTTGAGCGTTAGTTCATTTACTATTTTCAGAGTCCGGTCATCCTCCCATTCCCACTTCTTTTTCGTTGTATCAATGTTGATTGATCAATTTGGCAGTTTTCTATGGTCAGCCAGTCGTGGACAATTGACTTTGTCAGATGCTCTCACGAATTCTGGAGAAGGAAATATTACTGCAGTGGTAACTAAATAGCTTAACCACTAAATAGCTTAACTTGAAGGGAAAAAGGCATAGATTGATTGAATCCAAGTATATGGAGAGGGTTTAACACTTGTTTGTAAAATGTTCTTTTGGACGGCTGTTTCTTCTTTCTCGAGGTGTGCAAGAAGAATGTCGTCAATGTTTGAAATGGACCCAATTCCACTAAGTTGTCGTTCACTTTCCAAATTTGATACCTTTCTCTACATGTTAAGTAAAGTATCTCAGTATCAGTTATGTAATTTCCCTTTTTTCTTCTCTTTCTTTTAGCTTTCTTCAGTTCAGTCCTGAGTACTACTCCATGCACTTCATCTTTAACAAGAAGATTGTGAAGAATCTGACAAGTACTTCCCATGCACCGTGGTGACGTTTCAACTTCTGTAGCTCAACCGAGAAGCATTGGACAAATTAATTAAAAGCATTGATAGAGTTCAATAAACATGCATTAGTTTTAAGCTCATGAATATAGGCAATTAAGATCAAGAAAATGGGCTCTCCCCTGCTGCGAGGTCCGGGGAGACATTTGGGTCCATGTTGATGTAACTGCATTAGACGATGCATTCACGGCAAAATTTCAGGAATGACAAAGAGACCATAATGGGGCCACGCACAGCACTTTTCCTGAAGCAAAAGCACTCCCTGAAGCTATGGAGGGAGAAAAAGGAAGTTAGTGCATAGATCATGAAACTGCAAATGGAAACGAAATACAGGTTTGCTTGTAGTTATAGTTAAATAGGGCGATTTGTACTGTTTGAGTAATAATTTGTATGTGCTGGGTCTCAGCATTCTGTGTTAATTGTAATTATAAACATGAAAAAAGGTTTTAATTCGAGTTGCTTAGCCATGCTTTAAATTCGAAGTATGTGCTGTCGATAACACTTCATAGATCCGAGATTTATTGCACCTTGTCCTTTCATTACCTTTCTCTGCATCTTATTGGTTCTGATCCGGAAGCAGAATTCCCTCTCCCTTCTTCCTCTCCCATCTCCTTTCTACCCTCAAATCTGCTTCTTCCTTTGCTCCTGTCGAAACACACATTAATTGCCCTCCATCGCGGGGTTAGTTCAACTCTTGCTGCTCAACAAAGTAAAGAAATGAAGCCTCAAAAACTAATTATTCATGTTTCATGCATACTTGAGCTACAACAAAGTCAGTAACTTCAACAAGTTCAGATTTACTGACAAGATAATTAGTTGCAGAAAGCAGTGGATCCTGAATTGCATAACCTTCCACAAAAAGGGATGCATCCTGAATTGTATGCAGCTGCGCAGTCAGGTGATTGGGGCCTACTAGGAAAATTTTCGGACGAGTTGCACGATCAGAGGACTCCAAAAAGAAACACTGTCCTTCACGTATTAGCCCAGTCCTGTGACTCTGCAGATGCTGTCCGACATATCCTTGCACGAAATTGCTGTTTGCTAATGGCCAAGAATGCTCGTGGTGAGACTGCACTTCATTTGGCAGCAAGAAATGGGAATTCTAGCATTGTTGGAGAACTTATTGATCAGAGTAAACAGAACAAAGGATGTTGGTCTTGCGCCTGTTTTGTCGACAGACGCAAGATGATGCTGAGGATGGCTAATGTGGATGGCAACGCAGCTTTACACGAGGCAGTTAAGAACAACTTCTATGAGGTTGCTAATTTGTTGGTTCAAGAAGATCCTGAGTTCCGATATCGCCTCAATTATGCTTCGGAGACTCCTCTATATGTCGCAGTAGAGATGGGACATCGGCATATTGCGGATCTGATTTTGAAGACTTGCAAGTCACCATCTTATCTTGGCCCCGGTCACAAAACTGCCCTTCACGCTGCAGCAATATGGGATTTGCCAGGTACGTTATATTGTAAAGAAAGCAAATCTGTGAACTTCTTTTTTTTTTCTCCTTTGATGTTTTTCTTTTTATGCATATGCTTTTCTTTCTTACAAACGTTGGAGAGGTTAATTAGTTTGAGATAAAACCAAAGATTTTTCAAAGACAACAATTTGACCAACCTTGACCATAAGGAACAAAAAGAAATAGAAGTGGTTCAATGCAGTGGTTCTAATTTTCAAAAACAGGCCGGTACATACTAGCTTTACAGACGGGACGAATCAAGAATTGAAACTTGTCTTTCATAAAGATCAACATCCAATTATAGCTTTTCTAAGAAGCCTGAGGCAGTTTTCCCTAAGTTAATTCAAGAATGGCGTGATAAATCCATGCTCCCTCTCATGTAATGGGAAAAAAGGGGAAAAAATTAGAATGAAAAGCAGTAGTATTAACATATAACATGCCTTCAAAGTCCGTTTCAAAACGGAAATGAAGACATTCATGTCCAAAAGATTGACAAGCATTTTATTGTTTCGCCAAGTATATAATGTGATAAGAAAGCGCTCTCAGTTCAATTCGGTAGAACATGGGTCTCCAATCAAGAAATTTCCTCCTAAGATTTTCAAATGTCTATAATTGCACATGGATGATTTTTTGCCATCTATACCACTGGCCAAATTGATTTGAGGGAAACTTGGGAGGATCAAAGTTTTCAATCTACTGAAGTTTAAGACATTGGGTGTTTTTCTTTAGGGAGAATTTATAGAATATTGATACTTAAATTAAGAAGTACAAGCAATGTCAGCTGCTGAAGTTAAAGAAGAGTGAGAGAAAGAAACGAGTTTTACAGCAATTAGTGAGACACAAAATATTTGAAAAAGAAGGTCATCCACAATCTGATCGGTTGTTTATACCAATGGCAAAGGGTATTTAGGTTCAGAAATAACTGTAATGACTTCAACACAATAGCAAATACAAACACAAAATCTTGAATTGACCTAAAGTGCAAGCTGAAGTGACACAAAAGTAACGTTAGAAGCTCATTGCATTTGACACTCGTGAATTATGTATGGTCAGAATCCATGGAGCTGATTTTGGAAAAGCGGCCTGATCTTATACAAAGGGCCGATAAATTTGGGTGGACTGCACTTCATTATGCTGCCAAATTTAATCATCAGGAAATTGCAAGACTACTACTGTCTGCTGATAGGTCTACTGCCTATGTTGCTGCCAAGAATGATGACTCCAAGACTGCTCTACACATTGCTGTAATTCATGGACGTGTAGCTTTGGTGCAAGAGATTTTATCCCATTGCCCAGATTGTTGGGAGGAGTGTACTTATGGACGTCGGAATATCCTTCACCTTGCAGTAAAATACGAGAAAAGAGAAGTGTTGGAATTTGCCTTAGAAAAGTACCCCTGGGCTTCGGAGCTCATTAATCAGAAGGATAGAAAAGGAAACACTCCTCTCCACCTCTATGCTGCTACCAAAACCTTGGAGGGGAAAAGCCTTCTAAATCATCCTCGTGTGGACGTCAATTCCATCGACAGATTGAATTCTACGCCTCTAGATAGAATCCTACAGGCAGACGAGCTCTCAGAAAGACAGGTAAGATTTTCTTTTCTTCCACTTGCATTGTCTTATCGGTTGTATCAGAACACGGTCAAAGCAAATATCCAGTCTAAAATATATCTACTTTTACTAGATCTAATAAACTGGATCTTCAATCCACATTTGAATTTTTTTCCTTTCTTGGAGTTTATAAATGATAAAAGAGAAGATGAAAAACAAAAGCAGAATAAGAGCATATAATAAAACAAACGATGTAACAATACATCCATGAAAGATTCTCTCAAATATGATACGAGCGATTTATTGCATACTAGTATAGAAATTGTTAGTCTAAATTACGAAGTACTTTTTTCTTATCATTCTTTTCATTTTTTGGTGATATAATCGAGTCATGTACCAATTAAAAACAAATAAAATTTAATACTTGATACGCTATTTCTTTGACAACTCTTTAAAACTTTAACACTGTATGAACACACTATCGCAGAAAGAAATGTAGGCACGAGAAATAAGATATGGGCAATAAAATTAGCATAGACTAGTGAGTTAAATGGTAAAATTTGTTGCAAAAAGTAAAATATAAAAAATAAAAATAAAAATTGCTTTGCTGATGGGATTGAATATCTGTGCATCACTTCCTTAGCCGGTCCAGATATGATTGTTAACATTCCTCACTTCTATGTCCTTTCTCAATACATCATAAGATTTATCCAAGTAGTGTTGGACGAGTGCTCCAAGACTATCTTACATTAGATGCCAAATGAAATAACTGACACTATTTTTCACAATTTGGCGGTGTCTCAAATCATTTGCCTAGAGTTTAATCAGGGATGAGTTGCAGCAAGTGGGTGGAACTCCAGGTTATCGAAATGTAGCTACTCTGAAGAAGAATTTACAATCATCAAAAACTCATGAACCAAAGAAACTGCAAAGACTGGCAGGGAATTATTTGATCGTGGCCACCCTGATTGCAACGGTCACTTTTGCGGCCGGTTTTACTGTCCCAGGTGGATACTATAGCAGCGGCGGTCTGAACCAAGGCTTGGCAGTTTTAGGAAAGAAAGCAGCTTTTATTACATTCGTAATCTCAGATTCCTTAGCAATAATGTTCTCCATTGGTGCAGTGGTTCGACAACTTAAGATCCTGCAAACCAAAAATGACAGGTATAAATGGTCTGAGCTCCAAGACATTCAGACAAATATTTTTGTGGCTGTCATATCAATGATGATAGCATTCATTACTGGCTTGTACTCAGTGCTACAAGTCTTGCCCCTCAAGATTGTGCTGTGTGTACTTGCTGCTTTCTTCTGCATTCAGACATCTGTGGTCTTTCTTTCGCTTAGACCCAACAAAATGTCAAGGACCTATATGTCTATATTTCGAAACACCACCGATGCCTACTGTTCTTTCAGTATCGGTGCACTCGGAATTCGGTATGAGAATTTCACCGATCGGATTAGTTGTGCAACTTGTGCTGGTAAATTCTCATTGAGAAGCGCGGGGCAATAGGCCAAAAATTAAAAAGACTATTTGAAGTGGAAGTTGATTTATTGATTCATTTTTCTCATTATCATCTTGGAACTTACCGGCTCTGTTGGGTATTTGACCAAGAAACAAGAGGAATATTTGGAGTGGAAGTTAATTTACTGATTCATTTTTCTCATAATTATCTTGGAACTTACAAAGACTTGTTTAAAGTTATGAATACATCATTCTAGATTCATTGGAATGCATAAGATAATTTTAGACAAGTCACTTGCTAAACTCGTGGACACATATTTCGCTTCAACTAACGATTGTTCCCCGCTTTGTTCTTTGATGCTGAGGAAAATACTCTAGAATCAATTGAAAAATAATAGTTTGAGGTGTTTTTCATGTCATCAAGACATTTACCCCAATCACTATCACAATGACCACGCAAGAATTCAGTTCTCAATTACCAACTTTGCCATGTTCTTAATCTCTGTTTCTTTTTAAATCAAATTTAAAACGTAAGTAAATTCCTAATTTTTTGGACCTCACATAACTCTCGCATGAAGAAGGCCATAAAATCTACACCGGCTGCAATATTGTGAATTAATAGTAGTAGAATCCAAACCCCTAACGTAAACCAAAAAAGAAATCCTAAACCCTATTTATGATTCTCCAACATTGAAAACTATGGAAGTTATAAATTCTTTGAGGCAATTGCCCTGCCCCTACAATATAATGAAGCTTCACTCCTTAGCAAGGCAAAGTATTTTCTCTAAAGCTACTTTTAATCATCCCATTTCTCCACCCACCATGAATGTAATGTTTTGTATAAAGAAACATTATTTTAAGCATAATATATATATATATATATATATATATATATATATATATATATATATATATATATATATATATATAATATGGAAGATTCATTTCTTTATAATGCATGGTATTTTTATCTAATGCTACTTTTAATCATCTGATTTCTCTAACCACTGATTAATTTAATGTTTTGGATGAATAAACACTATTATTTTAAGCATACTCACAATGTGTGCGCATGCATGTGTGTCTGTATAGGACACGGAGCCTGAATGGTCATCTGAAAAACTATTAGAACCGATTTTGTGCAAAATATACAAGATGTAATTTTGTGTGCACACGGTGTAATTTACTTTTAACAATGTGTAACTATATAACAAAATTTTGTAGACCCTATACATGGTGTGAAAAATGATGTACAGGATGTAATTTAATCCTTTTTTTTTTTTGGCTAAATTTTAACCATGAACCTTCTGGAACGATTGCTTCCTGCAACCATTTCTGCTCCTCCTCCTTCTATATATTTATAAATCTCAACTATTGTGTGCCGCTAAAAAAAATAATTTAACTTAGTAGGCAGCAGGTCCACCTTCCTTAAATAAAGCCTTACTTGAATCACGTCATGAACTGCTGAAAACAGTTAAAAAGCTTGCCCTTAACAAGGAATAATAACCAATAATATGAGGAGAGAGTTGGGTTGGATGGTAATGTAGGGGTTAAGAGGCTTTAGATTCAATTTCTTCCATTTAAATAAAAAAAAACCAATACTATAATTATTTATGGAAATTTTCTTGCCATTAGTTATATAACTCTTTGATATCATTGCCGAATGTGAAGGGACTTGTACCATCAATACGAACACCGTAGACTAGTGATTTGTATCATAAACCTCAGAACTTTGTTACTTTAACTATTAGTTTTTCGATTCGTCTAATGGGCATCCTAAGGACACTCCTTAAAATATATGTCAAGTGTTAGATTTTTAGAAATATAAGATTCATAAAAAAAAAAGCATATAAATGTAAGGGGTTCAATTAGGAAAAGTGTATAAATGCAAAAAAAGTAATAATTATTAGTGTGTATATATGCATGATAAATTTAGTGTGTTAATAAGTGTCAACAGGGCATCCGCTAGAAAAACTCTAGTTTTTTATTTGGAACTTTAGCACTTAGCCCCCACAAAGCAAGTTTTTCGTTAGTTACCTTGTTTATCTGCTTTAATTTCTCTTATAATATCTCTTTAATTCCTCTTTACGAAAATGTGTTATAAAATAACCAACTATAATCTACTTACTTATATTAATGTACCATTATGTTATCTTAATGTATTTAGTATGGAATAATTATAAGATTCAAATATATCACTAATGAAACATTAATTTCTCCTTTAGATAAGTCTCGTAGAACAAACAAACTTCAAGCAAGCATCAATCAAATTGCATCAAATAAATCTGTCCAACTCATCTCTAACATGCACTCTTGTCAAATTTTTAGTATTTTTTAACTAAAGAATTTTATGAAAATCAAAATGTATAGATAAGCAAATTTTGGGTATTACCCATAACTATGTGACTTACAAACGTACTTTTAAGATTTCTAATATATATTTCTTTTCAATATGATTGGACTATTTTAGCCTTTGTCATGAGCACAAAAAAAGATAGTTCAAAAAATGGAAAAAATTAACCCCATAACCCACCTCAAGCTATCTAAAAAAAAAAAAAAAAGATGTAACCTTCGTTTCCATACCCATTTAGTAAATCAAACGTATACTCTTGATGTGTGTTTTCAGATTCTAAATTGTTGTTCTAACAACTCTTCTAAGTATTCGAACAGGAAAAGAAAACAAAAGTATAAAGGAAAAAGGTTGGAAAAAAGCTATAAAAAAAAAAATTTTCCATTGTATTGAGCAGTTTTTGTTCCCCGTCCCCTGCTTTTAGGTACACTTTCACGACTACTATGGCTCTATCTTCCAAAAGTCAAAAACAAGCAATTTCTCCCGTAGACAGGGAAAAGACTGATTTCTCATCTGTGATTTCTTGCTAATATTAAATTCGACAACTCAACTTCCAATTTCAAGGTAATTTTAGTCCTTCATAATCACCGGTTTTTTTCTTTTTCCCTTTCATGCAAGTTGTATCTTTTTTGCTTCCGATGTTTGAGAAACATTTTGTGCTCGTAACTTGTCTGATTTCACATGGTCAAGCGACTTAAAAGAATAATTATCTTTTGCTCAGCTTTTTGCCCTCTTCTTCGTCAAGAGCAGTTTCTGCTGCTCGTACTCGTAGTCAAGAACACGTTTCTTGCCCACTTCTTCTAAGGTTGCTTTTCGGAGAAAATTTATATTAGCTTCTTTTTTTTAAGTTCGAATGTCCATTGTTAAACGGATTTACTTTCCAATTGTATTACTATTGATACAGTTGCTTGGTTGATTCCATTTAATTGGCAACTGGGGAAAGAAAAAATTTTAGGATTTACTTTGATAATTGATTGTAGCCTGTGCCTTTTACCGAACACATCTTTTTTTCTGATCAGTATATAAATTATTCTTTTGTTAGTTAGAGCTTAGAACCAATGGGAACAGAAAGAAGAACAAGGATTGACGTCGAAGGGTGTTCTCTTGATAGAATCTCAAGCCTTTCGGACAATGTTAGAGATCATATATTGGTACACATTCCTACTCGAGATGCAGCAAGAACTAGTATTTTGTCCAGAAAGTGGAGATATATATGGGCTGGACATCCAAACATTGTGCTTAACAAGCAATTTTCAGAAGATATTAGAGGCAATAGATCAGCCATCGAATTTCAACAATACCATGTAAAGATAGTCAGCAAAATACTCTTTCAACACCTTGGTCCTATCCTCCAATTTGATCTTCAAGTGCCAGATTTACCTTAAGAAGAGTATTCCGTTATTGATCAATGGCTGCTCTTCTCATCAAGGGAGGGCCCCCGAAGAACTGATTCTTAATGATTCAAGTCCAATTCCTTATAATGTCCCTTCTTGTATTTTCTCTTGTCCGAAACTTACCAAAGTGCACCTCTCAAAGTGTATCTGTAAAACATTACCCACAGCCTTGGAAGGCTTCAAGATGCTCAGAGAACTCAGACTATTTGAAATCACCTTTGAGTCGCCCGTCCAAATTACCATGCCCAAACTTGCCATTTTGTTCATAATTAGGTGTCGGGGTATCCAACATTTTAATGTGTCTGCTTTGACGCTGAAAATATTGAATTTTTGCAAGAACGATGATTTCGACTTTGAGCCAGTATATTAATTGCTCTGAGTTAGACCACGCATATATTTGGTCATTAAATGGAGTTGTTGAATTGAAAATCATAGACAGAATCGGAGGATCCTATTGACCAAACTTCTCAGCTCCTGGCCCTTACTCAAGTGCCTTGGGCTGAATGGAGATTATCTTAAGGTGACTAGAGATTCATTTATGGAGTAGTACTTTAGTTTGTTTCTTAAAATGAATGCCTGGGTAATTGAGGTTGATGAACATATAGATATATAGATATATATATATATATTATATTGATGCTCTATCTTGTGGTCTACTTTACAGTATATGCTTGCAGGTTGTACCATTCCTGAGAGGCTTCCAACAGCAACATTCAAATGCTTGAAAATTCTTGTAAATCATCAAACCATAAAGACTTAAAGTATTATATGTACTATACATTTATGTACCTTTGAATTTCAGTCATTTTTATTTCTAAACGAGAATAATCTTGACATTTTAATTGTTTCCATTATAGATAACGATTTTCATCACTTTGATATGTTAATTCAAATCATGATAGAGTTATTTATAGTTTTTAAAATCACAAGACCGTTATATGGAAAATCAATAATTCAGAGGAGGTTAAACTGTAATTTACTTAGAATTATTTTGTCCAATAATTTATGTCTATAACATAAAACTATTAAAAGATTTTAGAAGATTTTCTTGAACAAGTTGCATAAATTAAGTCCCTTCATTAACCAATGATTAAAGTATATTTTATGTGTTTGCAAACAAAAGATATTGGAGGTGGATTGACTTGGGTCCTAAAGAGGAAGAATTGTAAATAGAAGGTCCTCCCACTTGCTTAAAAGAAGAAGAAGAAGAAGAAATTATAGTTATTTGTAAAAAAAAAAAAAAAAAAACTGTTCTCATAAAATTTGGTTTTAAACTAGCAAAATTAATTTGCTAAAGAGCTTTTTGAAAATCCAAATGTGTAGATGACCAGGTCCAATAACCCCCCCCCCCCCCCCCCCCAAAAAAAAAGAGTTCTTTTTTTTTTTCCAATATGGTTGGACTCATTTAGGCGTTATCATATGGATAAAAATATACTTCAATAAGTATTAAAAAAAAATTAG